GACAGGGCGATTTCCAAGAGCAGGCAGCGAGCAACAGCCCTCAGAATGAAAAAGCCTCTCTGGGTGGCAGCAGCGCCTCCAGTGGGGTCTGGCGAGGCCCCGGCGCACTCAGATGCGGAGCCAGAGCCGCCGCGGGGGCAGCGAGGCACCAGGACGCCGCGGGTGCACCCGCGTGTGCCGCTCACGCCCTCCCTCCGGCAGCCAGCAGGGCTCCGCCCTCAGCCTCAGGGCCAAGTCCAAGGGGAGAGGGGGACAGCAGGCTTCCTTGTGACCGTTTTGCTGGCGAGCTACAGCGCTGAATGCCAGGCGAGAGCACAAGAAACCAACCGCCACCCTCTGGCACCAAAGGCACTGTTTTTTTTTAAGATTTATTGATTCACGCGCACAGAACTGGAGAGGCACCTTGCTAACGGAACATGCCGCCCCGCACTCCCGCAGGGTGAGAAGTGGCAGAAATCCTGAAAGAAATGAGGCGCACAAGGGGTGTGATGTGTGCGGGAAACAGCCTCATTGTGCTGACAGTTTTGTTTCCCATTAAAACAATTCCCCTCCCTCTCCTTCACCCCGTGGCTGTTAGTCACTCAGGATCCTGGAGACTGACTGCAAGAGACTGAGGGAAGCCAGGTACGGGGGCGACAGAGCCCGGCTCCGAGCCTGCCCTCAGCACGCCCCACGGTCGCTGCAGGCTGGCGCCGTGAGCAAGCGGCAGGCAGGATGCAGGAGCTGGCCGTTCTATTTTCGGAATAGGGACTAAAAACTGAGAAATCTACTGAAACCATAAACATCCTTAGTATTTATCTAGTTTCCCATTTAAAAAGAAAACCCCCCACTGCGGGAGCCACGCCCCAGGGTCCGGCTCACACACCCCGCCGCCCCCGCAGGCTCCAGAAGGCGTCCCCGGAGAGCGGGAGAGCGGTCCCCGGAGAGCGGGGCGCCCCCGCCTGGCCTGGCCTCCCCCGACCCGGCGCCTGTCTCCTCACGGCCGGCCAGGCCCGGCCTCTGCAGGACGCAGGCTCAAAAAGGCCTGGGAGCTAACATTGAGCCTGGCTCAAAGGGAACTCTGGAGCTGATGGGTGAAGGGAGAAGCACTGCTCTCCCGTAAGCGGACGAGGCATCGGGCCCTGCCTTCGGACAGGACGAGCCACCGGTCAGCATCGATTCAGTCACCGCATAAGCAGCTTGTTTCCACGTTAAGTTTCACAATCAAGAGTCACCAAACACTTGAGATCTAGATGGACGGACGCTGCGGTGGCAACTCGGCGAATGACAAGCCTGAGTGGAGCAGAAGCGTGAACCGGGTTCCGGCGGGAGGACTCCCCGACAGGGGTTCTTCTAGGGAAGAATCAGGCCTTTGAAGTGGCTGGGGAAAAGTAGGCACCAAGAGACTAAGTGAATGGCCCCAAGGCTCGGAGCAGATCCGCCACGCAGAGAAGCTGCGCTGCGGACAGGGCCAAGGCCAGCGAGGCGCGGCACGGCCCGAGAGCCCCCACACGCCCACCACGCCGCCCTGGCCGCACCCCCAGCATGCGCTTGCAGGACCCACCTGAGAATGAGCCCGGGTGGACACACCCACGCCCTCGCCTCCCAACTCGAAGAAAGAAACCATCACAGCTCGGGAATCCGGAAAACGGGCCGAGGGGCAGAGCGCGAGCGTCTGCGGGCGGGCGGCGGGCGCAGACCTCGCTGCCAGGCCCACACGCAGCCGCTGCCAGCGCGGGAGGAGGGAGCCAGCCAGGCAGAGAACTGCTTTCATGTTTCACTCCGAACCCGGCCCAGCGACGTTCTGTTTACAATCGGGCGAGTTTCAGGTCCCGACACACGTGTGTCTTACGTGGAGGAGACCCGCCCTGGCCTGGCCCCGGCAGCGGCGGGAAGGACAGCGCCGCAGTCGGAAGCCCGCGGCCCTCGGTACTAGCCAAACCTAGAGGGACCTTCCAGCTCGGACACCCTATGCGGGAGAGCCAGCCGCAGGAGCCACGGCCCGCCCAGCTGGCCTGACTAGCAGGTCCCCAGGAGGCGCGACCTTCCGGAGCCAGAACGCGGCGACCAACGGCCATTCCTGCCAGCTTCGTGTCACAGGGTACTCCCCACAGCCCACCCCGAAGCAGAAAGAGCCAGCTCTGCCGCCCCCAGTAATCAGACAAATCTCTAAAGCTGTGGGACAGGCTCACAGCGCACGGGCATAAAGTCACTAAGCGCTCAGAGGTGCGTGAGAACAGCCCATCAGCACCGAGGCAGCGGCGGGCAGCAGCGAGGGCACAGTGGGCAGGCCGAGGGGGCGCAGGGGCGGGGGCTGGGCGAGCCGCACACTGCCGCAATCGGAAGCAAGTGTTACTCAGACACAGCAGGGAGGAGTGGCCGACTGCCCGCACTCTGAGGTGGCGCGGGTGCAGGGGCAGGGCTGCGCCCTCCCGGGGGAGCGGCCGCCCGGCGGGCGCCCCAGCCCTCTGCCCACCTGCTCTGACATCAGGGGCAAGTGCAAACCACATAATGCCGCGCCCCGAGCTGGCCCCCGCCTTTCTGAGAATCCTCTTTCATCCGAAGCCAAGTTAACGAACGAAGACCACAGCATGAGCACGGAACCCCGTCCCGCCACTCCAGACTCACCCTTGCTGTTACACCACACAGCTGCTTTAAAGTAGTTCACAGGGAGGCGTTTCCTGATAAAATTTCAAAAAGCCTGGTTCAGCCCCAACCTGCCCGCTTCCACACCACGTTTTCAAGGCGACACTGGCTTTCGTAAGCTACTAACAGCGCTCGCCCGCGCGCCTGGCATTTGAGATAAACGGGCGCTGCCTGGGCGCCAGCAGCAGCGGGTCAGCACGGAGGCCTGACCCTATCGCTTGGCTGCGGTCTCCCCTGTAACAGCGCGTCCTCGCCAGGCCAGACGGAGGAGGGCTTGGGGCCCCCAACTCCCGAACTCAAACTGGATGCCAATCTCCCAAGGGCTCGGGACAGCCCACATCTCCCGAGAGCTGACTCAAGCTGCAGCTTCCAGAATCAGACGCCGCAGCTCAGCTTCTCCTTTACTGACCATTGCTAGCTTCGAGCAAGATAATCCACCTGAGCCTCGGTCCCCATAAACATGAGTAGAGGATGTACCTTGTGTATGTAAATACTCAATTACCTTGTGTATGTAAATACTCAATTACTCAGCCTAAATCACACAGGTTTCTCAGACAACAGCTTTACCCCGCATCATTCTCATCCCCTTTGTCAGAGGACACCGGCAGCTACGGGGTTTGTAAACTTTCAGGGGGCCAGTTTTGATCCAAGTCAGCTTTGGAGCCTCTGGGGAGATTTAGGGAGTGGGCGGCAGAGATGGAAATGGCGGAGCCTGCAAGGACCAGAAATAGGCAGGCAGGAATTTCTCGGGGCAAGGAACCTGTGGAGACTGGGGGCACCAAGGGGACGTGCTGGCGGAGGGGCGCAGAGCGGAGCCCCGGGCGGGAGACAGCCTGCTCGCTGTTCCATTACCATGATGGGCACGCCAATGTCAGGCCACAGAAGGTCCTCTGAGGGCAGCTTGGGAGAATTCCACACCACCACCACCTTGTTCAGGTAAGGGAGGCCGTTCAGTCTCTCCAGAGAGTTCATGAGCACTTCCTCCCGCTCATAGGTCAACATCACTACCGTGAACTGCTCCCGGGGGACGTTGCCTCCCAGCGCTGCCTGAAACTCCTTGCCAGAACCCCCCGCTCCCCCACCAATGGGCCGAAACCCAGTCCCGGAGCCCAGGAACTTGGCCTCTGAGGGCAACACGGGGTCAAAGGGCGTGTGGGGGAAGAGATGGAAAGGCCCGGGAGCGGAGTTCCAGCTGCGGTACAGGTCGGTGACCGTCAGCGTGAAGTTGCGGAGGTATCTGGGCGAGGCGTAGGGAGGCTCGGTCTCCACCGGCCCCAGGTCCAGGTCCCCGTTGTCGGCCATGTTCGGGTCCGTCCCGGCCGCCTTGCCCGAGCGGTGGGGGATCTCGGCGGCGGCCTCCTCGCGGATGGGAGCGGCTGGGATCTGGATGCGGGTCCTGACCGCGGCCAGCACAGTACTGAAAATACTGTCGGCGGTGGAGAAGTACGTCTCCCAGAGGAAGCGGCCCTGCCGCCGCATGGCCAGCAGGTCGCTGTCCGAGAGGCTGCGCAGCAGGAAGTGCACCTCCGTGACGCGCGGCTTGGGCAGCACCAGCGCCGCCTCGCTCCACTGCAGCACGTCCTGGTAGGGCAGCTGCGCGTGCTCCCCCAGCACGACCGGCACGGCCCCGGCCGCCAGCGCCTCGAAGAGCCGCGCCGCGCACCCCGAGGAGGTGAGCAGGCGGGGGTCGCCGGGCGCGATGATGAGCGCGAAGGTGGAGCGCTTCAGCAGGCCCAGGCGCTCCTCCCGCTCCCCGCACAGCGCCCACTCGGTGGGCAGGCTGGGCCTGGGCCGGCTTCTGCAGGTGAACTCCACCAGGACCTGGTCCAGCTTGCTGTCCTGGACCGCCTTCAGGGTGGCGATGATGCGGTCGTCGTAGTCGGCTGGAGGGCCGCCTTCCACCTCTTCCTCGAAGGAGCGGGCCTCCTGCAGGCTGGACCTCAGGGACTCGATCTTCTCCCCCTGGAAGGTGAAGAGGTACTTCCTCTTCACGGGCACCTGCGGTGGGATCTCCAGGAAGTTGGGCTCTGACATGGCATGGACGAGGGGTGAGACGACCAAGTCGAAGCCAGGCCTGTACTGGGCGGCGTAGAACGTGGACTGGGCCACCATGGCCCGGCCGGTGCTGACGTTATAGAGCAAGTTCTGCGTATCTGACCTCCGTGACAGACTGAGGATGACGTGGTTGTGTCCGTCGGTCCGCCAGTGTGGTAAAGAATGCAGCTGCCTCTCGAGGTCAGCAGGCCGCAGCACCAGGGGCTCCTGCATCTCGCCCACCAGGACCACATAAAGGCAGGCGATGTCCGCGTTTTCTGTCACGTAGACGCTGGCCCGGGCGGTAGCCTGAAAGGCCTGCTTGACTAAGGGGTCCAGGTAGCTGCCCAGAGCCAGCTGGTCGCTGTCATAAACATAGACTGGGAAGCCAGAGGTGAGCGGGCAGCGAGAATAGTCAAAGCAGTTATGCAGCCGACAGCCCCGCAGGGCCTTCGGGGGCGGCAGGCCGGTGTCGTCCTTCTCAGGCAGCAGCCGGACGGGCAGCGAGAGCTTGGGCTGATTCTGGGCCATCAGCTCCTTGTAAGAGTGCTCCGTCTGGCTGATGACGTTTTTGAGCTGCAGCAGGTCCTGCTTGGCATTTTCAATGCTCTTCTTGCAGGCTTCGATCTTGAGATTCAGCTTGGCGATCTCGCTGTTCAGCTCCTGCCGCTTGGCTTCCAGCTGCAGGAGCTCCTCGCTCACGGACTCACGAATTCGGCAAAGATCCAGCACGTGCTTTACCTCACACAGCTCGTTGCCGGCCCGCGGGCCGAAAATCCGCTTGCCGGCCTCATCGGCCTCGTCCAGCGTGGTGAGGTAATAGTGAGCGATGAGCGGGAAGCAGACCAGGATGACGAAGAGCGTGAAGCTGAGCCACGTGAGCCGGTTGCGGGTGGAGCACCAGAGCATCCAGGTCTGACCTCCGTTCCCCACGCCCCCGTTCCGCAACATGGTATAGCCCGTCATGTGGAGGTGGCGCGGCCCCTCTGGTCACGTTGGGTCGCCCGCCATCACCGTGGGTTTCCAGTGGACGAGCGCAATGCCCCTCAGGCCCCGACTCCTGCGAGAGGTGGTGTGCTTCCGGTACAAGGCACCCAGTAAAACGGAAATTTCATTTTCCTCAGCTGTGGTTGCAGCGGCCTCCGGCTCTTTCCCAGCAGATCTGAAGTTCTGGTTGTTGACCAAAGAACGTGTCCTCAATCTTCATCCAGTGGTGACGGGTACTGCATTGTTGACGAGACGAAAGGGAGGAGGCCGCCCGTGCGGAGGCCCAGCAGACGCTTCCCGGGACGGCAGAGACCTCGTCAGCGGCCATGGCTCTTGCTCCTGCGCTTTGCTGGCCAGCACACATGCATAGTTACTACCTCAGCTACACAGCACGGGCTAGAGCAGACGTGCAGGCCGGCCTCTTCGGTCACCGCCAGCAAGCAGGCCTGTGAAAGAGAGACGGGGTCAGTCCTAAGGAGGCCATTCAACGACCCCGCCTGCCCCGGGCATCCCTAGAAAAAGCTTAAATCTTGGAAGGGGGAGGAGAGAGCACTGCCGTGCACCTCCGAGGGCACTGAGGAGGGATCCTGACCCGTGGGCATGTGTCCAAAACAGCCTCCGTCCCCACTTACACACGCACACCCCTTCTCACTGAACTGTACACAGTGAGCACTGAAGTCCCACAAAATGATGACCAGCTCCCCCGCAGAGGACAAAGACACGTGTTACTCTCTGCCCCAAGTGTCCTCGTCAGACGCAGAGAGACACCCTCGTACCCCGCCGTGGGAGAAATCGGCATTCCCTCCTAGGAGGGAAGTCTCCTTTCGAATTTTTTTTTTTAAAAGAAACCACCTGTGAGAAGCTCCGCTGGCTGAGTTGGGGGAGGGCCTCTGCTGGCCTCTTCCGGCAGTGGCGCGGCCTCCCAGCGCCAAACGCTCTGCCTGCCTCTCCTCTAGCTCCGCCGTGCAGACGTGAGCTCCTCCCCGCATATAAACAGGAACTTGCTCTTTTAGAAAGAACAGCATGCTCGGAGCGAGGGGCAGGTTTCCTATCCCTGGCAGTCAGATTTGCCCTCAGATCCTACGCCTCAGTTTCCAGCATGGAGAGGACATCAGTGCTGCTATGGAACGAAAGGGTGATGGTGGAGGCGCTCTAGGAGAGCGAACCCTGAGACTCCCGGCCTGTTCCCTCGCCAGTCTTCACTGCGACCAGCGACAGAAACTCCCCTCAATTCAGCATCCCTAGAATCGAATTCACAGTACCTGCCAATTGCTCTCATTCATGCATTTCCTCCAAAAGCTACCTGCACGCTCAGCATGTGTGAGACATGCCGCGTCAACCCAGGAGGTGCTCAGGGGAACCGGACTACGAAGCCGCCCTGGGCCTCCAGACCCCCTTCCCGAAGAGCCCGAGCAAGCACGGTGTGGGCGCGCCGTGCTGCTCGGACCTGCGGTCGGCTCGCCAGCGTCTCGATGAAGTCGCGTGACCAGTGAAGGGGCAGGGCCACGGCCCCGAACTGAAGACAGTGTTGCTGAAGGCCCGAATAAGCAGAGCAAGACATAGGACACGAAAGGCCAGGGAATGTGGGCCGTGATCTGAACCTGGATATCGGGGTCTGACCCAATATTCCCAAGGACACGGGACAGTATTTCTCAGGCGTTATCCTTTCACGTAGGTGTTTACATCTTTCGTTTGATTTCAGAAGAATGTATTCTACACTTCCGATCAAGTCCTCGTGGAGGAAGGAGCGGAGGGAGAGGGACCGGCAGCCGGCAGCCCTCCTCTTACCACCGGACTCGGGAGCCTCCTACAGACCCGAGGCCGCGGGCCAACTCGCGCTTTCTGGAAGCCGTGAGCCCCGCGGCTTGCTCTCCTGAGAGGGGAGGAGAGAAGTGGCACGCTTTAGCAGAATGCTCAGTTCTGAAGGTGCCAGTCAAGAATGTGTTTACTGTCGGCTGTGAAAAGGCTCCTCCCGCGCGTGCAGGCAACCAGAGAATGCAGGGCCCGGCGGAGACCACTCCCGGGCGCGAGCTGCCCCGCAAAGGCCAACCCTCCGGAGCGAGACGCCTGTGCGCACCGAGGGGGAGGAGCCAAATCCCAGCAGTGTGGACAGGTCCTACCTCGGAGAAATATGTTCCAACAGTTATGGAGGAAAACGATTCATCTGGAATTTTCTTAAAAACGTCATGTGAGTAATGAAGGGTGGAGGCAAGACGAAAGGAGACTCGGCAGGAGGACGCCAGGTGGCGGGAGGCAGGGGCTGATCCTACGCTCTCTGCTTTCACATATCTGAAAAGTTTTATTTCAAAAAACAAAACCTTGGCCCTCCCTGGTGGCACAACACGTTAGGTCGCAGCACTGCAAGCTGGCCGTAGCCACTTCACTGCAAGTTCGGTCCCCGCCCTGGAGGTGACCACAGGGTCACCTGACCCGCCCGCTGCTCCCCTCAACACTGGGCTTCATCGATCTGCCTGTCCTGCTCCCTGCTCTGCCTCTGGTGGGTCCTTTCACCCCCTGCACCTCTGGCCTGTACCCCAGTTCTGTATGCATAAATAAATCTTTTTTTAAAATTACAGTCTAAACAAAATATTTTTTAAAAGTGCCTTGAAGACTGAGCACACTGAGTCTCTCATTAATGGCTAGGAGTGGGGCTGGGAACAGAGGCCCACGTCCCACTGGAAACCAAGAAATCACAACCGTCAAGGAGCTCGCCCGCAAGGTCCAGCCTCTCCCTGGGTCAGGCAGAAGGGCCAGCCCCGTCCAAGCGCACTACTGTCTTCCCTAATGTTCACTCAAGTAATTAAGCACAAAAGAAAAAGAATCTCTTCTGCCAGCCCTAGAAAACGACGATGGTTCCAGGACCTAGAAATGTCAGTGAAGTAGATCAGGAGCAACGCGCAGGGGCTGCCCCCTCCAGGCACGACATCCTGGCCTCGGTCCCTGAGCCTCGGGCGCCAGCCACAGCACCGGTGGGTCGCGCGCCGCCCGGCCACACACCCGGCAACAGAGCCGTCTTCTCACAGCCTGAACCAGACCGGTCTCTTCCCACCCACGCGCGCTCAGGCTTCCCGGCATCCGGCCAGTCCTTCCCCAGGAGCTCCTGACCAGCTGTGAGACCTCAGTGCTCGCTGCTCCACCTCTGCTCGCTCCCGGCAGCTCCTCAGCCCGTCTGGGCCGTCCTGCAGCCTCGGGACTGTTGTTCCTGCGGCTTTTCCCCAGGCCTTTCTCCACGTGATCTTGACTTTCTTCAACTTCCCTTTCACGCCTGCTTTTGTCCCCCATGACCTGCCTGGCACTACCTGGTATCTGTGTGGTTTTCACGCACTGCCTCGTGCCTGCCTTGCTGCGTGGCCCGCTCAGCCCTGCGCTCCCGTCAGCGCCCCCCGCACCTGGCACTCCCTACACGCTCCCCCCAGCAGCTTCTCATTCTACAAGTTCAGTTTTCCCCTCGACTTCCAGGGAGGCCACTTTCTCCTGTGTTCCACCTATTTCCCTGACTAACTGTCCTCCTCTGCTGGCACCCAGTCTTCCTCCGGCCTCATTCAGAAGGCGCTATCCAAACTCTCAACTTACCTGTTAACAAATCCAACCACTTGTTGTTTCCAACCACCCCTACAATCAGGCCCCAACCCCCAAAGCTGCTAGCCCACCCTGGTCTGTGTTCTGCCCTAGACCAGGGTGCCGACTGGCCCAGGACACCCCCAGTCATGTCAGGCCCACAGACACGTCCTCTTTCCAGTGACTGTCAGTTCTTCCCTTTCAGTCTTGCAAACTAGACACAATGTGACTGACAGACAAGAGGACAGACCTCGGAGCTGGCCGGACCTGGCCCACACCCTGCTCTGCAAGCGAGGAGACGGCCACCCAGGGATTCTAAGCCACGGTCTCTTCATCAGTTACAAGGCAACAGCACTGCTGTAAATCCAGAGACGGAGAGTAAAAGCTGCCTGCACCACAACTGGCAGACAAGTTACCAGTCACAAGCCCTGAAGTTATTTTTAACTCCTCTAGCTCTTAACATACACATCTGACCCCTGCCCGACTACAGCAATTCTTTATATGACAAACTATTAAGGTAATAATATGTGTTAATTTACACTAATGAGCAATGGCAGTCTGCACTGTTCTTTTATCCCTTATTTTTATTCTAGTGCATTCACCCCGGCCTTGTACCATGACAAATCGTCATGCCTATTCTCAAATTCCCTACCCATTTATCCTGTTTATTACTCAAGATTTAGTATTATTTCATCAAAGGGTGTTTCAGCTGAACAATTCCAATTAACCTGTCTGAGTTTACCAAACCATTCTTCTACTATGTTTAGTGCACTGCTAATTCTCCCCAATAAATCCTACTTTCAGGTATATTTTTCAGTTCTAGGATGTCCATAACTCTCTAGAGGATGCAATTGTCTACTGAAAATCCCATTTTTTTTCCACTTCTCCTTTTTTTAAGGAACGCTGCTTTCTAACATCATGTAAGTTCCAGACATGCTTCACTGCAAAGCAACATCTCTATATACGCCGTTACGGTCGTCACTAAAGTCCAATTTGTCTTCCAGCCTACAACTGACCTCTCTACCTGATTTACCCACTCTGGTAACCTCTAACTTGGTTGTACGGTCTAAAAGCTTGTTTTTATTTGAGTTCATTCATTTATGAGAATTAAATTCTTTATCCACCAATTCCAACATCAGGCCACTTGTGATTTGATGCTACTGACTGTTTTTCACTTGTGACCCTGGATTGCATGCATCTGCCTCTTCGCTACTTTGTACCTGCTTTATTGTATGCTGGACACTGTATTTGAAAGAGCCATAAAGACTGAAGTAGATGTAATTTCCCCAAAAGATACATACTTTTTCTTGTCCGGACAGCAGAATGAATATAATTATGAAGAGACCTTCCTACCCCATAAATATTTTTTGCCTTCAACCTTACTCTGAGTGATATTAGCACCTGCCACTTAGCTTTTTGGTCTAAATGTTACTGTGGTAAGTAAGACAGCTGTAACATTAAGCCTGCCATCTTAACTACTTCTAAGTGGGCGACTCAGTGGCACTAATTACACCCACACACTATGTGGCCATCCCCACTACTTCCAAATCCCAAACAGGAACCAACAGAAACTCCCGGTCTCACCCTCTGGTTTCCTTTGACTTGGCCATCTATGTGACACCTCCATGTAAGGAGAGTCATACAGTTATCTGTCCCTCTCAGACTGGGTATTCACCCCCATGACGCCTCAGGGCTCACCGCCTATGCTGTGGATGCTCAGAACCTCAGACCTTCCTGTGCCTGAGGTAATACCCCGCTGTGCCCGTATTCACTGCCCTTCCTCTACCAGCTCACCTGCTGATGGCATGTAGGCTGTTTCCAGCTTTTCCGGCTCTTCCACTCGTAGTTCCTATTTGCCTGGCTACCTATGTCCATTCTTATTCTAGCA